GCTGCCAAGGTCAGGGAGAGCTGTGATAATTTAGTGCGTAAGTGCTACTCATCCAGCACAATGCCACATTATTTAATTCTGTAACACATTCATACAACTGCCTGACAACAGCCATGGACGGGAACACTACCTGTGGGCTCAGGTCAAGGCGAGGCAGTTTAATGTTAAAACAAAGGAGCTAATTGGATTCCTGTTCAAGTTCCAGCTTTTTATGGGATCAGAGTTACTTTTCGTCTTCCTGCCTCGGTCGGCTCGCCTGGAAAGGAGGACCAGGGTGTGACTCGTGGCTGAAGGAAAAACCCAGTGCATATGCCTGGCTTATTTGGCCATTCTTCCTAATTTCTCTGTCCCCTTCTTTTTTTGCCATTCAGCTCTGGTTTGTGAATTCCAGGCCATTCCCCTCAGAGAGCAGAAACGCAGCTCACCTCGTGAAACAGGAAGGACTGTTTTAAGAAGGAGAAGCCATCTTCAGTTGTAAAAATTACACGTCTTGCTAATGCCAAAATTAATAAGACAGAGGTATTTGGGGCTTACTCTTCATTCTTACAACTGCCAGTGCACAGAATACTTTATAAATAAGACTACATCCCATACCCCAAACCTTATAGAGACAAACAAGTGCCATCCCCTTTCCCCAGAAGTATAAACACAGAGCAGAAAAATGAGCAATACAAGGAGACTGAAGAAATTCAAGCCTGAAAAAAAAACAAACCCAGAATTTTTGCCTCCTTGTTTCTAAACTCATAAAAAAGACTTTCTCTCTCTCTCAAAAAAAAAAAAGGGGGATTAAATAATTTAATTAAAGACAAAACCTTGTTTTATACTGAATTGTGTGCAAAGCTCTCTTCTGTTTGCAGAGGAGCTGAGAGTCACCCTCTGCAATGGTTGTTGTATAGTGTGACTTTCAAAACAATATCCTTTCAGTGCACAAAAGGAGAGAGCAAGAGATATATGTCCTCTGGCTCAACATGGATGGGTGTCTCCAAGGAGCTCACACAGGTGATCAGACCACAGACTGTCAAATGCACAGAGTGGGGATGGCAGGAGGGAGAACAGTCCCGGCTCAAGATTAGAACAGGCTCAACTGCCACCAAACTTCCAGGAGGAAGAAGCACCTCTTTGCACCACCCCCAGGAAACCCGAGTTCTGGGCTGCAGCCTTTCCCTTTGGAAGTCCTCCCCCTCCCTAATCCCCTGGCACACAGGGCTGCCCACAGTTCCCCGAGTAGCAAATGCCTTAGTTTCATTTTTGGGCAGGACCACTGCAGGGTTCATCCCTGTATGCACAAACTGATAAACAGGCGGATCCAGTCCCTGCAGGCTAAACTCCAGTTCCCTCTGCAGATGTATTTTTGTTATAAGCTGAGGCTCACTGTTGTGCCATGTAAAAAATGGAGTTATTCAAAGAAGTGGTTTTAAGTTCAAAGATAATGTCATGTTCATTTGGAATATAAGCATGAGCAGCACGCTCACAGATACACTCCCTGTCTCCCTACATCCCTATCTCAGCTGTAGGCAGGGTGGTAATGTATAAAGAGAGAGCAGGTGGGATTTTTTTTTAGGTGGGGAAGAAAAAGGCTTATGGCTCTGAAGCTGAGTTCACTGCCTATCCCACATTTTGGAAAGGACACAAAAATGCCTCATGAATCGAGCAGGCATGCCGCAAAATAAAAAGAAACAATAGTATGCAGAGAAATGCGGGAAATCCACCGATTAAAATGCAGGATTTTATTTCAATAGAGTTTGGGCAGAGTCTCCATTTCTTCTATCACCGGTGTGAAGGGGCCACTGGACTTACATGTGCAAAAGCCTTTTATCCACTTACATTTGGTCTCTTGCAAGGTCTGAGTCCTGAAGGAGCTCAGAAATAAGGAGCTTTCAGGTTGGCACCTACCTAAATAGCCCTGCTGGTTCTATGTAAATGGCCTCGGTGCCACGGAGATTTTGCTGAAGGCATTTGCTCTGTGCACATCACTGACACCAGCCCGAGGAGCGGGGCTTGGGCTCTGATCTCCCTGAGCACTCAGAGGAGAGGGATAAGCCCCCTAAGTGGGATGAGAGAGCGGCTGGAGGACTAAAGGGATGATTTAACACACTTTCTGTGAGCAGGCAGCCCCAGTGTCGGGACTTCAGCCTCAGAGTCCATTCCCTGCCTACTACGTTTATAAAATGCTTGGGAAAAAACACTTCGCACGTCATGTCCTGCACATCAGCAGCGCCAGACAATTAATCAGGGATTCCTGTGCCACGTCATAAATCATGGCACCTCCTGTCACTGACACCTGAAAGACAATATGTGAGAATCTGTCTTCAGTGATACCCTTTAACTCAGGCAGAATCCCTTCGGGTGTGTTTGTGACCACCATTCCGGGCAGCCCACACAGCTCCAGGGTCTGATCCTGCTCCTGCTGGTTTGGCCATGGATACTACAGAGATATTTTTACTATGATAAATGGTTACATACGTGACACCAAAATGGAGCCTTCAGCTGCCTTTTTACAATAACACAGGACAATAATCTCCCCACTACTTATTCCTTTATCACCAACTAACTGGAAGACCTGGAAAAGTCCCTCCATGTCATGAGCTGTCTCCAAAATGAGAGAGCTGCAGCACATCAAATTCTTCACCACAGTGTCTCTCTCAAGCAGGAACTGAAGGCCAGGCTGTAACTTCCCCACGAGATGCGCAGTGGTGAAATATCCCCAAATTAAACAATTATGTTTAGAAACACAAACACACAGAGACCTCCCACTAACTCAGCAGATTCTTTTGAAAGTTGGCACTGTCAAAACAAACACAGTCGCCTGTAGCACCCTTCCACTGCTCCTGCTGACAGCGCTAGTGAGGAGGAGGAGGTGCTGAGTACTTTGTTATTATGAGGAGGAGGATAGTGTTGGCAAAGGTGTTGAGTTTGACACAGAAGTATCAAGAGCAGGAAAGCGAAAGTCAAGGAAATCAGCCTTGTGCCACCTAAAATTGCTCTGGCACTAAACCTACAAAAAAATCAATGACTCTGCTTTCACAGGAGTTTTCACATCAACCTGAGGGAGCGTAAAGCCCGAGCTGCACCAGATGGAAAGGCACTGGAAGTAGGGAGTGAGACAGGAGCAGTGCTGGTATCTATCAGCCACCTCAAACACAGAATTCACAAACAGTAATTAGGGCTATTCACATCTCTGCCTGCCTTTTACTTCTTCTGTACCAGCGAGGAGGGAAAGACAGCACAGAGAGAAAACCGAAGTGTTATAAACATATCTGCAGGTACTAAAAGGATTGTTTATACTCTTATGTATTTCTGCCTGTTATCTGAGTAAAAAATTTGGTAATACAGCAATCTGAATTTTAGGTGTGAAGTTATCTTTCCTTGGTTCCACCTTTTCAAACTCATTTAATCACAGCAGCTTGTCTTCCTTTGCCCTCCCTCACAAAAACACCCCTCCCCACATTGCATTTAAAACCTTCTCACAAAGAAAACCGAAGGAAAATAATTTCTGTGCAACTTATCCATCTTTCAAAGCAGCTTCTGGCAGAAGGGAGCTGAGAGTGATGAGTCCATAGAATAATAAATAATAACAATATTGAGCAGTTTTGCAGAGCAAATGTACATTGAAAAACTTTTCCTCTTGAGTGCCTGACATTATTAATTTGTTCTCCAAATACACTAGTGAGGGGAGTCAGCCCATTTTTACAGACAGGGAAAGAGAGCATATAGATTTCAATAATTGTTTAAGACACAGAGGAGTCAGCTCCAGAAACTGGGCAAACAACTCACAGGAGATCACAGCCCATATCCATGGCAACATTTGGGCAGAGCCCTGCCACCACAGTAATTGCTATCGGCAAGTGACACACGCTGGGGGGTTGTGACACCCGTCAATAATATCCTCCCTGCACTGCCCTTCCCTGGGCTCCACAAGGAGGATGTCCCAGGCCGTGAGGAGCAGCAAAGGCTGAACAGAAGTTCCTGTAATTATTGATGACAGAAGTATTTCTAACCCCTTCCCAGCTTCTGCTTAAAAGGGTTCAAACTCACACTAATCTACTGCTGAAGTCATATGTGACATACCCAAACAACCCATTTTGAGTTGCACAGACGCTCACCTGGGACATCCTTTCCCAGCAGTCCTGTGGAACGGCAGCATTTTTATTTTGCACCACGAGGGCTGTGTTTTCAGCCCCATTACTGCACAGCAGAGCTTTCAGATGAATTGAGGGGAGGGGGAGAAGACCTGAACTGACTTGCTGTATCCACATGAAATGGGTTGTGGATGACCTTGTGTCCAACCTTCTAACATCTAAGACAAAAGCATGGAAAAGCTGAACAAAGGAAAGCAGGAAAGCTCACTGAACAGGGGGTTTATGGGTGTGTGTGTGTTTTGTTTGTTTGCATAGAGATACAAATTGAGGTTGAGAAGAAGATAAATTAATTTTTAAGTCTTTTCCTGTTTTATAGTACTTGTAGCAGAGTCACAAAAGTAACAAGAATTTCCAGGATCAGCACAACACCAAAAACAGGTCAAAATCTTGCTTGCTGTACTCACACTAACGAGGTCTCAAAAATAAATGGATGTGAGGATTCCTGTGTGGACAAACATCACTTCCCCAGGTTCCCCTGATAATGGCTTGGTGATGAAAACCAATCCTCATCCCTTTTCCCCATGAGCCAGATTATGATGCACGAGTGAGGCAGGCAGAGGGACAGTTCTTGTGTGTCACCCCCTGCTTGCCCTGGGCAATGCCTGGCACTGGCACACCACTATGATATGCACATGCTGATGCACCAGGGCTGCTGCTTCTGCTTTTTAGAGCTATTGATTTCCTGCCCTTTCTTGTAAAGCATTCTGTGAACTGGAAGCAGTTAAAGGTTAACGGCAAAGATTTCATTAAAAAGAATATTTTAGAATTGTTTAAAGATTCTAAATCATTAGTAGTTAAACGCCTACACCCAAGAACTGCTCTGAAATTTGTGTCTTTAGGCAATGAAGTTCCAAGAGTTACCTGTCAATATGAGCACTCCTGACTCTGCTTGCTCTGCTCCAGCTCGGCGCCCGCAGGCAGCTCCCAGATCCCGGCAGTAGCGCTGGCTGTCACCAGGAATCCTCCACTTGGGATCTCACTAAGATGAGGAGGAAGAAGAAGAGGGTTTTATCAGTTAGCAGAGCCTTAAAGTAGTCGAAGTTTGGCATTTTGGTGAAAATGAAAAGTCAGAAGGAGATGCTGGGAGAAGGGGAGGATGTGCCTCCACCAGCACGGCTACCCCTGGCATCTGTGTGACCCAGCAAGGAATTGCAGCCTTCCAGTCCCTGAAGGGAGTCAACAGGAAAGATGAAGAGAGACTATTTGCAATGGTCTCCAGTGACAGGATAAGGGGAAATGGGTTCAAATTGAAAGACAGTAGTTTAGATTAGATATCAGGATAAGATTCTTTACTGTGAGGGTAGTGAGGCACTGGAAAAGGTTGCCCAGGGAATTTATGGCTGCCCCATCCCTGGAAGTGTTCAAGGCCAAATTGGACGGGGCTTGAAGCAACCTGGTCTAGTGGGAGGTGTTCCTGTCCACAGCAGGGGGATTGGCATGAGGTGATCTTCATGGTCCCCTTCCAACCCAAACCACTCAAGGATTCCATGACAAGGACTGCTGCCCAAAATACAGTTCACACCCACGTGTGTGTGCGTGGAGGGGGATTTCACACACATCTTGTCTACAAGCTGTACATCATAAACTGACATTTCTGTTACTGTGGTTGTGTTTCCCCATTTATGCTCCTTCTTTTTCTGAGTGGCATTTCCTTTGCTTTATGTACACACTTAGGCCTTGGAAAAAGGGAAAAGTTCTCTGCCTGAGAGCACCAAGGGGAGCAGTCTTGCTCACCTGGGGACCTGTGCAGGCCTGCATGCGTGTGTTAATTTTAGAAGGATCCTCCTGACGTCTGAAACCAGCATCCAACTGCTGCTGACAGCACCTGGCACAGGGGCTACATCCTGCGCATCCCTTGGCAGGTTTTTTGGGAAGCAGCTACGGCAGAGCTACAGTACAGATGGTCCTTCATTTGGGGGTGTTTGGATCCAGACCCTTCATTTGGGTCTGTCTGAAGGGAAAAACTGCCTTCAATACACGCAAATATTTTGGTTTTAAAGCTACACGGATGTGGCTCAACTTATTTCCCTTCTCTCCTCCAGCACCAGTCCCGCTTCATTCAGGCAGTGCAAAGGCTTCACCTACTGCAGCTAAAAAATCCTCTGCTTCTTTCAGCTGGACATCACCACCCAAACCTTAATGGTGGGGACATGCAGGCTGTAAGGGCAGGACACCCCAGCAGCTTTGAGGGGGCCAGAGTTCCCTTGGGAACACCGAGGTGAAATGCTGCTCTGTGCTGGGGTGTATCAGAAATGAGGGGCACGGTATTTAAAACATGCCCAGCAGGATCTATCCCCCACAAAGGATCCAGCCACAATAGCTTCATTCAGTCTCCTGAGTCATTAGAGTATTTCCAGCATTATTTTTTAAAGATTTGTTCTACCTCCTAAAGAATTGCTTCTCAATGCAAAAGCAGAATGATGAATACACATCTTCCCTTTCCCTGCTGAATACAACTTTGAAAAACATAATGCTTCTCATCTGATTTCCTCCCCGAGTCAAAATAAGCCAACCAACTCCTGCACTACACCTATCAATACAAACAAAAGATTCAGGGGTGGTTTTTTGTAGCAGAAATAAACACAGTTTAGGGAATGATTTTCCTTTCATGACAGCTTAAGGTCCTTCAAACTTGACAGAATTGATTACTGAATCAAAGCAAAGGAAGGCAGGGAATGGAGTTTTCTTGCACACACTTGCAATGTTGCACACTCAGGGAAGGAAGTGAAAGGCTCGAGCTACTGGTAAGGAAAGCCCAGGCAGGGAAAGAGAAGAAGGGATATCTTGGGATTAGCTTTAGCATAACATCCTACAGTATGTTTACTTTGCCTCTCCATCTCATATTTCTTCCTGGGATCAGTCCCCAGCCCTGCAGACCCTCCCAGGAGTACAATGCCCCTTTCGTGTATTGTACGAGTGGCACCGAGAGCGCGGCGGCTTCCAAACATAAAAAGGAAAAAAAGAGTCTCCCTCAACGCCATCATCATTTTTAAAAAAGGCAATTGATGTCGCCTGAAGCAGCAGCTATGAAGCCCAATTATACCACATTTCATTCAAGTGTCAAAAATTGGAATAATAATAACCAACAACGAGGAGCACATATAGGAAATGATGCTGCCATCTTCTTTTGTTTTGGCCCTGCGTTTTCATAAATCCAGGCTTTGAGCAGCCCCAGTGCCACATTCCTTCAAGGACTTTCTTGTTCGCTATTGTTTTCAGTTCCTAACAATTGGCTTCCCCGACTACTTTCCTCGTGTTGACAGTCGCTCACAGAGCCTCCATATGCTCCCACTACTTGGGTAGTCAATCATTTGTGAATTAGCTACCCAATCAAAGATCTACAAGAGGGCTGGTGGTGTTTATTCCTTGCTGGTGTTTTGAGTGAGTGTGTTGCTTGCAAAAGGTGTCAGATTAAACACGCAGAACTGAGTTTACTCCCAGAACACGGATTGCGTAGTCGGAAGCAGAGACGCGAGCGCCGGCCCAGGTTCACTCTGGTTTTCCGTGGGGTTTTTTCCCTTTGTTTCATTTGTGGTTTAAACCCTGCCGGGGGTAAGATGTCCCTGGACTCAGGAAGACTTCAACCACCTGCTTACTTAAAATGGAATATTTGGAAAGAGGCTGGAATCTTGGCTGGAAGCAAGAGAGCGGCTCCAGGGGCTGCCTCAGTGTGGAGGACAGAAAGGTTAAAGCAATCAAAGACATCCTGATGGCATGTTTTTCTCATCTCAGATCATGGAGGTGCACAGTGCAGCCCTGAGAAACACATTCCTCTTTGCATCAGCAATATTCCTGCATTCCCAGCTGCATGGATGGAGCCTTCATAACCCCCCAGAAGCACTTGTGCCTGATGCTGTGTATGATCTCAGACAAAAGCTGTCCTTCTTTTAAGATCTGTCTCAAAACACCAACACAATACTTTCCTTAGCTGTCATTTTGGGGGAATTTAAAGGCATTTTAACACTGGCCAACACAGCCTAAAACAAGCAATGCCAGCTTGCAGAAGAGCCAGCATTCAGGGAGCAGAGTTGTTCCAAATCAGGATTATCACTTGCCATCAGAGACACTGCCTAATTCAGAGCTGGACACAAACCTTCACAGGATTTAAACACACAGCCCAGATGAACTTGCCTCTTTTTGTAAGAAAAGGGAAAAAAAAAGTTGAGGAAATGAGGTTGTGTTTGGAGATCTCACTTTAAAGCCCAGGTTTATGCTAAAAGATGACTAACATAAATATCTACAGGGGTTCCATATTGTCACCTTTACCTGACTTTAGAGTAATCTATTTATAAGCAAAAAAAAAAAAAAAAAAAATTTAACTGCCAGTCCAAAGAAAATGTCACTGGTGATGAGAGAATCAAGCTGATTTCTTTTCTTCTCATGAATCATTGTCACAATAAAGGGTCTGCGTGACAACTCTGCCCTTAGCAATCACTGAAAAACCCAGTTCCTTTGAAATTAGGAGTTGGTTGGTCCTTATATTGATAGTACTTGGTGATGATGACAATGATGCACAGGGAGAAATGTAACTTAGCTGCCTGCCATAGTAGTTACTTCAGCTGACTTCCAGCAGCACTTACCATTCTGTATTAATAGAAATTAAAATATTAAACACTTACTCATTAAGGTATGCAGATATGATTCACAGGGACCCAGTAAGAAAATGCTATTTTTAAGTGGAGATATTACAGTGAAGGATATTTCAAGTCAGAGCTTCTCAGAAGAAATAGAAAGCACTTGTTTATTCAGTGTCAGTTGGAATAACAAAAATTCGTTCCACTGGTAATAGTACATCAATATATATTAAGCCAGTGGTGATTTTCCTGAAGTTTTTCCGTCTTCAGAATTCATGAAAGAAATTTAAAACACTCAAGGCAAATGTCAGTGCTAGGGACAGTAATGTAAAGAATCAAAGTGGAACTACCTGGAATGTACATTAAATAAAAGGCAGAGAATGAGCACCGAGTGAATTTTTATATGTTCACATTACAACAAACTAGTCAAAGATTCTGACCCCTGGCACCGCAGAAATCTTCCCGGTTTTGATATTTTCAATAAAATAATTCCCAAGAGGGCTGGGGAAAAAAACCACCACACTCTTTCTCTCCCTTTCTTTCAATAAAATGAGACCTCATCTGTATTACGAGAAAGAATACTAATAATTTGGTAGTGTTCTGAGGTAGCTTTTATAAAGCTTTTGCTTGGGATTTAATATTGCCCGGGAAGTCCAGCAGATTTCCATGGCTTTGCTGGAGAAGAGTGAGCAGCACTGAATGTCAGCTCCTCGTGCAGTCAACAACTTGTACCTCGGCAAAGGGAACGTGGAGGGGACGTGCTCCGATCCTGCACAGCCAACCCAGGGGGAAGAATCCAGAGAGGAGCCGGTTCCGATAACGCGGAGCGGGTGGGTCCCACCTGTACACAGCAAACGGCCTGATAAGTATGAAATGTGTTCCCCCCGCTGGAATGGCTTTGGGACATCTCTGCTTGGAGGGCCCTGACTCCCTCTGAGCTGACGGTACACAAATATTTGAGTGCAGCTCGAGATTATGAGATGAGGGAAGGCAAATCCAGAAAGGCAGGAGAGGTGGCAGTGGTGTGCAACAACGAATAGGTGCATGCCATCAAAACAATTAATGTCACTCTGCAAGCTCTCTGGGAAATGTAGCAACAGAGGGAACCCACAGATGGCTCCTTTCCAGGGCATTTTAGAAGGGGGTAGGATGGGCCACGCTACTGTAAATCCCAGGCTGAAAGATGAGAAGGACAGAAAAAAAAAATATAAAAGCAGAGAAAGGGGGGGAAAGTGTATTCTTTTTCTTCCTGAATTTCCTCTTCACAAATAAAACAAAATAAATTGGGCATGTACAGCCAGGGCAAAGATTGAATCAGAGGTTGGACAGCCTAATGCTACAGATACACCACGCTGACCCATAATGCCATAAATGCTGGGTAGAGGACCAGAATTTTCCAGTGCTCAGCACCAATTAAGGCCAGGTTTGCAGAAAATGTCCTTCCCAGGAGGGCCAGCGTAGCAGAAAGCATTTGGCTCCCTCTTGATGTTTGCAGAAATGTTTTCAGAAGACCTTCTTTTCCTGGCACGCTGCCCTCTTTCTATACCTACTTATTTAAACAGGGCTTTGGAAGGCCAAATTATTGTCTCCCTGATTCTCAGTTTCCTAACATTAAAATGGGAATAAAAATAAACTTCTTTCATGGCCAAGGAGGACAAATGCAGAGGTGCTTAATGCTCGGAAATCTCCGTTCTGGGGGTCAGGTAAGGAGATGATTTTTGCACCAACAAGTCTTACTTTGCTCTTGCTGTGGTGTTACCCTTCCTTAAGTACTCAAACATTCAGAATAAAATCAGATCCTAAAGCAACAACGTTTTCTGCTCTCAGAAATCCTCCCTTTCCAAAGCTGCTGAGCTGCACTGCTCACTGGAACTGTCTGCCCCTTCCAGAGAGCAGTCTTGATTCCCTTCCTTCACCTCCAGTTTGCCCAGAGCTTAGTTGTGCTTTCCTCAGGCAGACAGCTGATGAGCTGGGCACGTACAGGAGCATCACACTCACGTCTGTGGGTGGGCATCTGTATATTTGTGCATCTGCATATGGGAAAAATCCACACAGATGCATGTCCATGTTAAAGCAGCGTTATTGCTGGGAAAGGATGGACAAACAGTTGGACATAACTTCCCTCCTTTTTAACCACCAGGCAGGGGATTGTATCCAGAGGGGCAGCGAACACCACTCGTCAGTGACAGGAAATACAGTGTTCCTGGGGTTATTCCTGCCCCCTTGGCTCCAGGCAGGCAAGGATGACCCGGTGTCTGTAACTCACCTGACGCTGGCAGGCAGCAAACACTGTCGGAAGCCAAGCCAAGAGCAGAAAAAATTGTCCTTTTCTCCCATATTTCCAAGCACGGTCTCGCATTCGCCTTATTTATCGCTCGTCAGGCGAAGAGACAGAAGAGGTGAATTTACCAGACACAGCCTCCCTGGTAGTTCTCCCCTTGCCTTTTCCTATCAACATCCACAAACCTCTTTTATAAAGGGGCCGTTTCCCAGTCCCAGAGAGGTCAGGAGCCTGCTGGGGAAGTTCTGAGGTGTGTCCCAGCTCTGGCAAGACACCACTTCAGGTCTGAGTAAGCCCCACACAAAAAGAAGGCCAAACTGCACACGATGTGGGCTCAGCAGCCAGGCAGTGGGTGGTGGCCCTCAGTGGGCCCACAGGGAGGAGAGCAAAGGGGACAAGTTTTGTGGAAGATCTGAAGAGGTAATGAGACACCCACAGGTGGGTCATGTAGGTTTGGGGTTCAATACTGTCAATGCTACATTGGGTAAAAGCTGCTAAGGAAGAGCACAGACAAACTGTGTCATTTCCACCTTTTAGGCACAAGGATAAGTGGAATTATTTCATCAGGTAAGTCATAACCACAAAGGGCTTTCCACCATACTGATTTCCTGTAAAAATATTTGAAGACTTGTGCACATCTGAGGGAAGGACTCGGAATAAAAGAAGGATCCTCCTCTGTATTTTAACAATGACTTCTGAAGAGCACTTACCATGTTTTACTTCAGAAGTACATTTCTGCACACGTGCAGGTGTAAGAAGTTTCATCAAGTTTGGAGAAAAAAAGGTAAAAGCTTTTAACATTAGTCAAGGACACAGAGTGGTTAAAGTGATATTTCCTTCCCCCTGTTTTAACCAATTACTCTTCTACTCCTGTGTATGATTTCAGAACACTCTGTTCCAGGAAAATCCTGAGAAGAGCCCTTTGCTGAGGAAGAAGTACACATTTTCAGCATTTGTGAATCTATTTCTAATACCTTGGTAAGCAAACTGTGCTCCTTATCTGGAGCCTGGTAGATAAAGGTGCAAAAAAAAGTTATTTTTGCTGCCACAGTGACAATCAGAGCCTGTGTGGTCAGTGGTGCCACCTCTGCCTCTGGGATGGGCAGATCTGTCTTCAGGAAGTTTTGCTTTCTTTAGGACACCTCATCCAGTATCATCCTGTCAGGGAAAAGTTTTAGCATTTTCCAACACCTGAAAGACTTGCTTTATCCTGTGCTTAGAGTGAGAAAATAACCCTGTGGCTTTTATGGTGGCCAGCACACACCAGTCCCCAGCTGCTGCTCTGGCCTTGAACAGATGAGCATCACAACCCTTCTCTTCCCTTCTCCACTCTAATTAAGATGAGGTTTTGGATTAGGTTTTTCTCTCCTACTCAAGCTGAACTATGAGCTCCTTCAGCTGCTCCTCTTCCCCTTCAGCCCTCTCCATCCCCCTTCTCCATCATCCCATATGACCATTTACTACATTTTGCTTCACTCTCTGCTGTCTCCAAGGGGCTGAGCCTGGGGACATTCCAAGGGGGAAGGGCTCCTGCCCCTCACAGATGGTCAGGCAAAGCCAACAAAGAATCCCACAGTTCCTCGTTCTGCAGCTCCACCGTCTCTTTTCCAGAGGGCAGGGGCTGGGATTTCATGCTGCCAGTCATGCTGTTCTTCCATAAGCCAATTCATACCTTTTCCAGGTTGTTACACTGGATGAACAGACCCTGCAGTCCACTCGAGCTCTGTAGCCCTCAGGGAATGTTTTCCCCCAGGATATCAGGGCATAACAAAGCGATTGTCTCACACGGACTGACTTCACAGCAGTTTCCCTTAACTTGTCCCAGGTTTATGGGGAACTTAATGAAGAGCTAACCCAGATAACAGAATGGGGGCACAGGGGCATGGGGAAAAGATGGTCAGAAAACAACAAACATGGAGTGAAGACAGACAGACAAGGAACGAAGGAAGATACTCAGAAGTCTCAAGGGACAGAAGGGTGACAGGAACCGCAATCAAAGCTAGAAGTGCTCATGTGTTACCTCATTTGGGTCAAGTGAGCCAATTCCTCCCTCAACTGTCATATTTTTTCAAGATTAAGGCAAGGAAGGCTTTGCTTTTTCTTTCTCATTCTGTGGTGCCTTTTTTCTATTCAGGAGGTTCAGTGGTTTATTTTTTGTTGGTTTTTTTTTTTGTTGTTGTTGTTGGGTTTTTTTTTAATTACCTTGATCTTGCTTTCCCCGTTCCCCATTTGGTCACTGTTTGAACAGGAATGAACTCCCAGTCTCCAAAGCCCATATGTGATTTCTATGGAGTGCTCCCAAATTACCTAATCTCAGCTCATATGCCAGTGCACATTCACAGTTTAACATCTTTTTTTCCTTGGAATTGGGCACAGAAACTGCTAGTTGGCTCAGATGTAAAAATAATACTCAAAACACCGAGGCCAAACCCTGCACAATAAGTCTACATATGTGGTTGGGCACTAACAAGCAAGTAAGAAAATGATCTATTTAAAGACTCACTTCTGATTTAGACATCGCTTTGAAGCAGTGTGAGTAGCCAGCAGAGTCTGGTCTCCATCACAATTTTTCAAATATAAAAATTAAAAAATGATTATAATTATGCATTCTGAAAGCTGGATGGGGCCATGCTACACTGAAGCATATTTTCCAATGTAATTAAGGCTTTCAGCTGATTCCTTCTGACTGCAATTGTTATTTCAAATGTGAATTAATAAATCATGTCCATCTAGTTAAGAATTAAAATCAGTCTCAAGTATTCCTGCTTAGACCAGCAAACTTAAAGAGAGGGAGGGATGAATGCTCCCAAGAAATTCTCAGTGGAGAAAAGAAGAGAAGAAAAAACAAGGAAAATAAAAAAGGGGCCTCGTCTTATTTAGGGTTTTCCAGGCATCTGAGAAACACACAGGATGAAGTTACATGACTTGCACATATGGAAGCATTTTTCCAGCTTTATACCGAAACAATATGCAAATATTCCACCCCTACTTTCACTCATGACTGGCTGCAAATACAAAATTCAAGCTGAATAATGTTAACTGCCCACATGCTCTGCTCTAAAGGATCCTCAAGGGCTTCTGGTCTCCTGTGGTACACACAGAGCACTTTAGCTATCACAGTGAATTAGTGTAAGGCCTGGTAATGCACCTTTAAGTATGTGAGCCCTTTTAAGGCACTTAGAGGTCAAGTCTGTGGCTATATAAAGTACAACCTTTGGAACATTTCTTTTCACTTGCCCATCCCGAGGCTGGGATGGCACGCAAAGGCGGTGTTTAATTTCATAAGAGCCCTTCGGATTCCAAATTGTCAGAGTCATCAACTGGCTCTGATAGCCAACCAAAGTTTACAGGAATGTAATAAAGCAAGGTAAATATTGGCAATCAGGCAGCCACTGCCAAGCGTGGCTGAGAGGGGCACGAGTAATTGTCATTGGGAAAGAAAGTTGTCGCTTTGCAAAGGGACCTCTCAAGAGCAAGGCACAAGGCAGAGCAAGTCCAGATGGGCCTCTTCCCTGGAACATAAACACAGACACTCAGTTCAGCCCCTTCCACGTTTCTCA